GGACACCAGAGATCTTCAGTTGCAAGAGGAGGGCAGCGTCATTGCCGTAATACGCCCTCCGCTTGAGCTTGGGCTGTAACTGAAACGACCGGCGGCTCCTGGATGTAAGCGCAGCCGTTCGCCGTCCTGCCAGGCGCGACCGCGGCCGGCGCCTGTCGGCCCGGGCAACTCGTGTCCTTGCCGTTGTCTGCAGCCAGCCTTGAATGAGCAAATACCCAGGAGCTGAACTCACCCGGGCCATGAAAGGTTTGGAGTGGGGCCTGGGTTTGGCAGCTCGGACGCTTCTCTACATGAGCGTTTGAAAGGGAATGTATTTTTGGAGCATTAAAGATCAACTGTTTCTGAATCCGGCCAATCCCTTTCCAGAGCGGCACCAAAGGAGGTCAGTGGGATGCTGCTGTTCAAATATTTTGTACATGAACATCATCTCTCACCCCCTCAAGTATTTACAGACCTGAGAGCATTTCCTGTTGTTCCCCTCGTTGAATAGTTGGTGTCTCTGCTTTCTCGAGCAGGACAGTGCTGTGTCCCTCGGTTAATAATGAAGAGAAGAAGGACCGCCCTGGTACTGCCCTTCAGCACAGAAAATAAAACTAAAGCAGCACAGTGCATTTAGTCACACAAATGGAAATGGATTTACCCGGCAAGTGGTTAAACAGCAACGCGCGATACTGAGAAAAAATATGCGGGGGCGGTGGTGGTGGGGGAGATGGGTGGAAAGAGGGAGTTTTATTCTCCAGGGTTTTTTTGCAGTCTTCATTCACCATATTTAGTAGGCTTGTGACTTGCCCTTGCTAGCTTATGGAGAATTCCCCCAAGTGTTTACTCCCACAACCTAGCAAATGCCTCAATACACATCATGGAAAAAATACAATCGACATGTTCACTCCCACTAGAGAAGGAATTCTGACTTGCCGAGCACCGAGCGGGAGTATGTGCATGTGAGAGAGAGACAAATACTGCTTCATTAGCTCGGCTCAGATGTGGTTTACTCCTAAAATGACCTGGTCAGGGCTGCACACCACCTCCCTCTCTTCCTTCATGGTACAGAACCAGCTGACCTTTGATCCGGAGCAACACGGGCAGGAATGCGGGTCCGTTAACCCTTTCTTTTGACATCAGAGAGCCGGAGAGAACTTGGCGGACAAAGTTCGGGAATTTTCAGGGATCCAGAGTTGCCGCGATGGGTAGGAGCGGCATCCAACAAAACTGCTTTCTTCCTGCTTTAATTAGAAAAGAACAGGCTTTGGAGATAGAGATTAGTCTGCACGGTGTATAGAGCTGCCACTTGAAAACAAAAGGAGGATCTGTGCAAGCAAAGCTCGCAGATCGGAAATCTTTGAGGATTTTTGGCACCTCTGCCTCAGAGCACAAAACTTATGGTGGTAGGAGGGGAGAGAATAATTAGGCCACTTGGTTTTTTATCAACATGCTTCCAAACCAAGCAAACTACAAGGAGACACAAGAAATTATTTTATTAAATGCAACATCTACAACTGAGATTATCTATAAGACAGTCTAGAGCCAAACAGGAGACCTGGAAGGAAGGATGCTTTAGAAGCAGTTGATTCTGCAAACGAGACTGCACAAACACAGCAAACCGGGCGGCTGTCCTCTGTCACTGCGCCCTTGTGGAACATACGACGACCCCAAAGTGCCCCACCACGGGGCAGAGCGAGAGGCGATGGTGCTGACACGGACGGGCTCATTTACAGCCGTACATTCTTTGAGATTGCTTAACGAGAGACCCCAGACACACGCATGAACACGGAACACACAGCGGAACGGAAGAACATGTGTGCCAGTACACGTGTGCTTAATTTGTGCAACCAGTTACTGTGATTAGCCACTAAGCATTTGCATGTGGCTTCGTCTTGGTTTTGCCAGGAGCTGAGTGTATGTTCAAGTGTTCATATATTCTTCTTAAAAAAGCAAGTAATTGTGCTGGGGCGCTTCCAAGATCTCTTGTGCTACAGGAATATGACTTTTACCTGCTTCCCCAGTGGCTGAAAACTATCGCTGGCATGATTAAAGTCCTCACCTCCTGCTGCACAGCGGTCTGGCTTGATGAAATTTGTGATTTGGCAGTTTGAAAAGGGTGGCATATAAAGGATGTAGACTCAGCCTGAAAACACACGGTCTTTAATCCCTGACATTTCTCGCAAGAGGTGCACCCTTGTGCTTTTAACCTCTCCACCGCACATCTTGTTTATGGCATTTTGCACACCAAAAATCTTGTGGACTACACTAATTTCTCCTCCAGGTCTTCTTTTTCTCTGCATTTTCCACGTGCATTCTCTTGCTACTCGGGGGCAGAAACCACCTCTCTTCTAGGGACAGACTGAGTAATTGCAGTATTTACCTAAAATACAATACAAACTTCTAATTAAGGGGGTGAAAAGCTATGTGTGATTGGCAAAGGAATATTAAACCTTTTCAAGTCTTCCCAAACCCTTTGTGCAGAACAGCTTTAGGAAACTCGGCCTGACGCCACCCTCCCCCTCTTTGAAAGCATTCCCCAGGGCAGTGCCCAGGCTGCAGCTGCTGCTGCTCATGGGGGAGTGAGTCCAGCCTGACACACACAACTAAATAAATAAATACTTTCTTCCAACAAAGACCTGGGTAGGAACAGAATAAGAGAGCATATGTGCAGAATCTAAGGAGTTCTGGGATAAGGGGGTAAGTTCTGTCTCAAGTACAGAAGAGCAAAGAAAGGCAGGAGTGTTTGCAGTCGCAAGCAGGTATAACATAGATTTTATGTAAAACGGGGATATTTATATACAAATACAGCTCCATTTTCAGTCAACCCTTATAACCTACTCTTTCTCCACATTTCAGTGCAGAGTCTAGAAAGAAGAATTAAAGCATGCAACTACTGCCTACCCCAAGAGACTAACACCTGCAGACCCAAGGAGGATAGTTTCACAGGAAAAACGTGCTTGAGAACGTAAGCTGCAAATTTTGCTTGTGTGGTCCCGGTGTTCTCTCCACATAGGTGTCAAAGATTGGAAAGTCCACGTACAATGACATGCGTGCATGCACACAAGCCTGCACACGCAGAAAAAGGAGGTGGCAGTGGGAAACTCAGCCCAGTGACTACTTTCTATTTCTTACATCTAAGAAACTGTGTTCTTCATTGTATTAAGAGACAACTTCAGCAAACTGTTAATTTGCATTTTAATGGAACTCTTTCTAGGAAGGTGTTAGTTGGACTCCACTGCAATAGCAAATAAGAGCTAGTTAAAAATATGCTGGAGTTGAAAGACGTATCATTTTCATTAATCAGGTTCATTCATATTCTTTTGTAAATTACAGGTATTTGGGATATGTGGGAGGAAATGGGTGGGGGGGAGGAGACATGACAGAATACCCATTTATTTAAATTACAGATAAAAAAAGGGGAAAATATTCTTTTTGTGAGAGGGAATCCTAAAGATTAAAAGCACTTTGGAGAAACGGATTTCAATAAAGAGCAGGCATAAAAGTCAATGTTGAGCTTGCAACAGCAGCTCTGCTTACTCGAAAGCCAGAGATCCAAGAAAATACATAGGATGTGAGAGAGAGAGAACCATGGGGCAAATTTTTAAACCTTAGGTGCACGATTATCTGCGCAGCTACCGCGATTGCACACGCCAGTCAGCAACGACGCAAACAAACGGCCGATTCGAGCTACTCGGAGGCGTAACCGGCCGGATCTGGGCACAATCGCCGCACGCCTAAGTCGGCAGCGTGAAAATATCCTATCTTTGGGGCCAAAAAGCCCCCGAGTCCTGCCCTGAG